AGACTTAAAATCACATAAATGACAGTTAGGCAAAAATGAGCTCCTGCTACCTTCAAAACTTTCACCCAGTTGATGCCTAACCTTAGGTAAAGAGAGCATGGGCTTTTCTTTTACAGCATAGTAGGGGCTGTGTATGTACCCAACTGCTGTTGCACGTTAAAGGTTTCAGCAATGCTTGACACAAGGACTGGAACCTTCATGTTCCAAGGTCATCCCAGTGCCTAAGTGACAAAATCATGCCTGCATTCTCTCTTTTCCTTCACCGAAACCCAAGATATTTTTCTGCAGTGAAACACCTTCACCAGGAACTGATGATGTACCCACTCCAGAATAGCCCGCAGTTTGATGTGGAGTCACTCTTTAAGAATGGGTGTTTGGTTTCCCTCAAGCTGAAGACAGAATTAAATCCAGCTCTTGAACTTCCTAAATAAGTGGTCCAATAAGCAAATACTGCAACTGTATAAAAAAAGAGGTATCTCTGCCCTCCTCAGCTATGTGTCCAGCCCCCTGCCCCAATAAAACCAACAGAAAAGCATGTTCCTTGATTAGTTTTTCAGAGGAAAAACATAGTTATTTATCTTCACTAGAGGGTTTGGGGCTACAAATCAAGAGTAAAAGTATTTTAGATAACAGTAGAGAAGTGTACCTAGAATATCTCTGAAGAACAATATTTAAGCTACCAACTTGTGCCAAATTCCTCCTATAGGTGAGTCATTCACAGAGCAGAAGGGTTGTTTCTAACCTATATGGGAACTAAGACTAGCACCGTGTTCTGGATGCCACTCAGGAGGCCAGGCAATTAAAAGTTATTTTTAGTTTCTTTGAATCTTAAGAGATGCTTATAGGAGACAAACCATCCAACCTGGCCTCACATTTAAAATAAAGGGCTCTGAGCTGACTACAACCACGCAGAAGTAAAATCTTCTAATTATGACAGATAATTCCACACAGACATCAGCTCAACACTCGGTAGCACTCAAAAAAGCAAATTTTACAGTAGGAATTATTAGGACCACAGAGCTGAAAATCATTATACCACTGGGTAAGTCCAAGGCGCATCCATACTGTGAATACTGTATGTAGATCTGGTTCCCTCACTTCAAGAAATGATACAGCAGAACTGGAAAAGGGCAGAGAAGAGCACTAGGAAGGACTGAAAGTACAGAGCGGTTTCTGAACAAAGACTCCCTGAAGAACACTCTTCGGTCCAGAAAAGAGGTGACTCAGGAGACACATGATGCAGGTCCACAAAATCACTGACAGAGGGGATGAGCAGGGACTGATTCTTCACTGTCACTTCCAGTACAAGAACTAAGGGGCATCAAATGAAGCTGATAGGAACCAGATGCAAAGCAAAAAAGAAACCCAGTTGTTCCTCACACAGCAGGAATTGAGTCTGTGGAAGTCCTTGCCAAGGACAGTGCACTTTTAAGGAATTGGCATGGATTCACAGGGAGACTGGGAAAAGTGCTTGACAGAGAGGTAAATTGGAGGTTACTATATAAACCAACTACAACATGCCCAGGCCTGAGCTGAAGGTAGCTGCAGGCTGAGAGCAGTGGGGTCAGTATCATACGTGCTTACCTGCTCTTACTCTTACCTAGGCATCTACTTGTGAGCAGGGTTGGAGACAGGGTACTGGGTTGGACTGACCCTTGGTCTGGATCCCTACCATAATTTTCATTTTCTTATGTTCTCTGTCTTGTGTTAGAGAGATAAACAGTTCGTGTCAATTAAAAGCAAGAGAAACTGTAAATATCCAAGCTTCCTATGAAGTATGGCTCACTCAGTCAATGCTCATGAACGGCTGACAGCAACAGCCAAAACAACAAAAAACCAAAACAACAACAAAACAAACCCCTTTTCTTACTGCAAAGGAGGACTGGAGAGAGGAATATCAAATGCGGGGGGGGCGGGGGAACAGATAAGAAGAAACATTCCCAACCTGCAAAATTAGTATCTCAGAGGGTGTTTGAGCTACTGCAACACTTTCCTGAGTGCTAATTAACATTAAAGGAGGTGGGGGAAGCAGGAGAGGGAGAAGGAGGCTACAAGAAACTTCACTCTCTTCCACACAGTTGCCCAAACAGCAAAAATAAATGGATTCCTAAAACTATGAAATTTGAATTTCATAAAGAACTCTCTGAAGAGCTCTGAAAAACTAATGGGTGCTCACAAGATTGTTAAGAAATTGCTGAATGTGGCTGCTGAAATCCTTATAATGGGCCTTGGCCAAAGACAAACATGAAAGGATTTTTTTAAATTTTGTAAAATTATTAGAGATCATTCCAACAATATTTGAGAGAAAAGTATCTTAGGATATATTAGGAATTAACACAGAACTAATCCTGTAAACCTTTACAATGTTACTCAGTGGGGGGGGGGGCACCTCTACAGTGAGATCACTGCTGTCAATCTTAGGTGGAGAAAGATTTAATGATTTTATGCTCTTCAAATTTATAAACGCCTCAAAGCTGAGACTACAGCTTTCATTTGTCTAAAATCACAATGCACACCTACAGTGTTGTAGTATTTTCATTTCAAAAGCCTGTTATTTATCAGTAGTGAAATAAAACATCTTTCCTCTTATGCACCTGTGAAATTTTTTAACGTAGGTGTCTATCCATCTGATGCATCATTGATGTGTTCTCTGAAGTCCTTCCTCCACAAAATATATTCCCTTTCTAATGCTGTTTTTATATTCAGGTAGACCTTTTCAAATGTTGTTAACATTATTAATATATATTGGGGAGGACAAAAATATTTTGCGCTCCAAAAGAAAATCGGCCATTTACTTTATACATGTTACGCTCGCTCTTTACATTAACCTCCAAAAGAGACCAAGATAATTGTGAGTCCAGGAGCTATGTCAAAACCTGGGCGGGAATCCAGGAGTGTTTCTGATACTCCATGTAAAGATAAGACTGAGCATGTGTTGGCTCCCAGCCAGCCCAGAGAAAGCTTTGGATGTGAGGGCTGGGCAACAGCCATCATTCGCTCTGACCAGGCTCCTGATAGCAGGAGATAAGGAGAGGAAGGGAAACGGGACCCCAGAGGAGGCTGCATGCTGGCAAGAGACTCGGCCAATGCGCAGGTGATGTCCAGGCAGAAACAATTTCTAATGTAGGGTGAATGCTGAGGAGGAAAGCAGGAACAATTCCTAATATATTAGGAATTAACGCAGAACTAATCCTGTAAACCTTTACAACGTTACTCAGTAAGGGCGGGGGGGCACCTCTACAGTGAGATCACTGCTGTCAATCTTAGGTCAATCAAAAAAAAGACCCCCTGGAAATACTCTAATATTCAGCGAGTTTTGAATGGAGAAAAGTTAGCAGGAACAGTGTAATTTTTTTTCTTTACTGTTTCTGTGAGGTATCGTATTAAATAGTCTGTCAGATAATGTTATGCAGGTACAGTATGTAAACTACTAGCATTTTTCCTTTAGTTTGCCATGTCTTACCGTAAATAGACTTATGCATTAAGGGGGAAAAAAATGAAGGAAAACACATACTTTTGGCTTGGTCATTTGTATGAGATATAAAAAAAAATTCTAATAAAACAACAATAAAACTCAAAGTCTTTGGGCTACGTCCATTTCAGCTTCTTTCCTAGTTTTTGCCCAGTCTTCACAAAAGTGAATTCTACTTGCTAGCAGTAAACGACTAAGAGCTGTTGGTATTAGTATAAACACTGAGTGTTTTGTCAGAAGGTCTCATTATTTCTGTTACCAGAAGGGATGAAAAGACAAAAATAAGACATCCTACCTGAGGGGAAGTAAACTTTAATTCAAATCTGGGTTTCTGGAGCCCCTGCCCAGTTCTTTACCACACTGTTTCCCGTATAACCAGGAGAGTGCAGCCAAGCAGAATGTCGCTGCCCGTTTCCACAGGGCTGTCCCCTGTGCCTGCAGCACCGTGTGTGTCACCTTCTCCTTGGGAAGCTGGGGAAGATAGCTGAGGGATGTGTGTCTCCCCTGATCCTGACAGCATAGAGGGCAGAGGGTGAAAAACGCAGATGGTGCAAAGTTTGCACACAGGTCGTCTGCTCACCCCACTGCAAGAGGACACAACTCAGCCGCTTATTGCCCTGGGCTTTGGGCCCAAGTCACTTGATTTCCGCCTCAGATTCTCCATGCAAAAAACACGACTGGTGGTACTCGGCCCCTGGTAGATGCGTGAGGCCTCGCCGAACGCCTCGAGGAGATGGAGGGGTACCCATTGATGAGCCGCCGCCGTTCCCCTCCGGCGGCACTCGGGGATGAGCAGCACCCGTTATAAAGAAACGCCAGTAAGTATGTGATACACCGCGTGTATTAGTAGTACTTATCAGGCGTAGTAACACCAGCGGGTGACGCGCACCTAACGGGTCCGATGCCTCTAACGGAGCCGCAGCAGCGGGCGGCGCCGAGCCCGCCTTCACCCCCGCCCCGCGCTGGCGCGGCACTTTGCGCCGGGCCGGGCCGGCCAGGCCTTTTTTTGCGCGGCGCGGAGGCGGGCCGCGGCGCACAGCCGGAGCTGAACTGCGGGGCGGCGCCCGCACCCCCCACGGGCCGCG